GCAGCCGGAGCTGGTCGTAACCCGAAAAGTTCGTTAACAGAAGCGTTCGTAACCCGAGGTTCCACTGTACGTTCTTTAAAATGTAGGTTATCTGTAGGAACTTTAAAACCCTCTACAGTTCCACATCTTTTTTTGATCATTTTGTTTTTTGAGATATAGGCAAATATAGCTGTTAGCAGACAAACTAGATGCAGGCAAAATAACAATTTGCATACACTGTTCCAGTATAGATCATAGACTGGGAACAAGTCTATGTCTGATGGTGATACATAGTAAGCTACTTCTGCCATTAATGTTAAAGTGAAAGTTCTTACACAACAAGAACTGTATGTGTGAATGGGATTTGTAGGCATGTGGATTAATGCTCTGGGTTTTTTTCTGTTTATTTAATTATCTAATATTACCATAAATAAGCTTGCTATAACTACATTTTCCCTTAAGAAACATATTTCAGAAGAAATATTACAGCAAAGAGAAACATAAATAGGGTAGAAAGCTATGTAATTAAAACAACAACAAATATTTATTTTGGTCATAGACTAGCATAATGTAATTAAAGGACAAGTTATTGTAACTATTTTAGAAAAGTAGGCCTAAAATAATAGTGAAAACTCACCTGATCTTCAGTCTCTATTTGTTGAATTAATGATAATGTTTTAACTGCAGTAAAACATACCTGTAATTCAAAACTCAATTCAATTTGTGAGAAAATTATGGTTCAGAATATTCATAAAATATTTGATCAAAATGCATGAGATTCCTTACTGACTGAAAAATCTGAGTAGCCTTCACAGGTTGATGCAAAATATAATTTCCAAGGATAGCATCCAACTCAGTAATATCAGATGGATTTACCAATATAAGAAACCTGAAAACAGCATAACCTTGGCTGGATTCTGTAAGGCCAGATAGGAATAAATGTTAAAATTGCCTGTTTACTGATTTAAGCTAAATAATTCTGACTGTTTAATAATAATTTTAGATATTACTAAATACCATCACAATATGATTTGCAGTCATCAACAAATTTCTGAAGACCACCACTCCTATTAAGATAAATTAAGGCAGCTTCCTTCATTTTCAGAAGATCCAACTTCATTTATTGTAACCTTGTTTCTCTACTAAATCCTTAGATTACAAGTGTATGTTGCTGCGAAGAATCAGAAATACAATTTTGGGATAAATAAATGTGCAATAAGAAGAAAATTAGCAAACTCTATTAGAATAATTAAACACCAGAAAATCTTGTTTAAATTCCCTTGCTATACTAAAGAAAATTGGAGTATTGTACCTGAAAAGCTAAATGTCATATAGAATATTTCCAATACAGTATATAATAATGGTAATGAAACCACCTTCAGTTCCTTATAAAGCCTCTAATTTCAAGTGGAGTATGTTTGGAATTTAATGTTCTCATCAAAGGTGATTATAAAGCACTTTTCCCGTTATATACTTATACTACAGGTCTAATTATCTGTGCGAAAAGTGTCCTTCAGCTTAGATGATGGCTTTGGGTTCAGCCACATGGTTTACCTTTCCGTACATAACAGAGCCATAATTAGCCTGATAGCAGGTCCCATCCACAGCAGCTGTCCATGTCACTTGGTCAGCACTTCCCCTTCTACAGAAATATCATTTACAGATGCTTTAACACACATTATTTCCATATTAAAAGCATTAGAAAGGGAGTAACTACATGTCTGTTGTCTTCATCACATAAATCCTTTTCTATCCCAACTGCCAATTAATTAATTAATTATTGTGTTGGTATAACTAGGGCTCAGCAAAAAAAATTAGTTACAAATAATTACCACAATGTAGATGCTTTTGCATCTTTGTAATCTTTTTTTAATCACAAAAAAAGTGTTTTTTTTTCTTTTAAAATCCACAATAATACTGGCATTATTGTAACATCGGGAACCTAAGCTATTACTTTTACAACCTATAAAAGCATCTATTTTCTATGAGAGTAATTTGCTACGCTCCCCAACAACTTGCTCCTGCACTCAGCTTCGGTATTTAATTTCTATCCCAAACCAGGCCAGATACAACACCAGTCTTCACTTCCCCTCCCTCCCTCTGCACACAGATTTAGCATCTTTTTCATGAAGCCGTTTTCCATTATTTGTGTATGCATTTTTACAGCTGATTTTCCTCCCATCCTCTAATGCATAGATTTTTATGTGCAGCTTTAGTGCTGTGCTCTCTTGGTCACTTTTAGATGCAGATTTATTGCTCTATAATTCTACAGTTGTGTTGTCTGAGGCATTCTTGACTTTTTTAAAAAATAATCTTTCTATCATCGCCTCTCAACTTCTATGGTTGTTGGGGTTTCTTGCAAACCATAGACAAATGTAGGCAATGTAGACAGATGCATAGATAATGGGATGGTAGAAGGAAAATGTTTTCTTTTTTTATGGAAATGTCCCAAAGGATATTCAAATAGGCAGAAAGGTCTCAGCTATTTGTCATGTTACAGTCAGTAGAGCTTTAAATCCACTACAAACTATAATCCCACAAAAAAGATGGACACACCCATGATTCCAGTGCTATGAATATTGGGACAGATCTCAGAAAGATAAAGACAAATCAAAATTACTCTGATTTCACTTAATTGTGTGGCAAAGGATTGAGAAACATGCTGGTGTTCTAAAAAAGATTCTCAGTCTAAAACGATTAGTAATTAAAGGATTATATTAGAAAAGGTACAACCATGACTTGGTTGTTTTCAGGATGGCATGATTTTTTTTGGCAGTCCACAAAAGAATTACCAGCCTGATATAAACCTAACTGAGAGTTAATAGATGGGCAAGTCACACTATTTGCATGGCTGCAAAATGTTTATATAGGATTCTCACAAGTCTTGTCCTCAGATGTTATGATGAGCCAGAAACCCTGAACTTCTAGAGATTCCCAGCCCCATAAGCCTCTCAAGAGCTAGGTTTTCCCTTCCTCTTCCAGTCCTTACTTCACTGAGGCATTGGAATAGTACCATCTAGGATGGCCACCACAACAGTTTGTGGTGTTGCTGTTGTCAGAGGGAAACCTTTTGATTGCAACAGAGGAAAAAAAATATTGTCAAGAAATTACCATTTTTAGTACAAATAAGCCCTTTTTAGCCACTTACAAGTCATATTTTAAGTTTCTCCTTTTAGAAGGAGATGGGATTGCTCAAGAAACAGCACTACACATAATTGCAGGAAACATCTATGTATATACTGCCATCATTCAAAATGAAATAATTTACAATAGTAGTGATTGAAACTTGGCAGTATTTACTGTTAATTTCAATTGTGAGGGTCAGTGTGATTTAATTGGTTCATTTCAAATTTGAAGAATGAATAATTTATAAAGCAAAAGATATAACAATAATCAATTTGAATTGTTTTACATGTATGTATGGATATAAAGTGTGAAATTGCCCAGGCTACCAGTCTTTTTGAATAGGAAGCCTCTCAGTTGCCAGAATGTGAATATTAAAGGTGAAAAGGGTTTCTAACTATGCAATAACATGCAGCATCTGAAGCAGATAATGATGTGGAAAAAAGAAATATGGGAGGGGGGCTGGTGGTATTTGCCATATGAGAAAGTGCCTGAATAATACCCTCAGATCAACAGTTTAGTTATAGATGCTGTGTTAGCCTTCCCTCAAACTCATGATATGTTCAACAAGATCACAAGAGATTCATCAACTGCTATAGCCAATTAACAGCTTGTATTTGGAAAAACTAAATGCATTGCAGAAGTGGTAGGTTTAAAATGAGGTACAGTGTGAGAGTTGAGCTCAGATACCATTTAATTTTTTTAAAATTTCCATTCAAAATCATCTCCAAACATTTGGTCTACTGGTTAAGGCACCAGGCTAGAAAGCAGAAGACTGAGTTCTAGTCCTGCCTTAGGCACGAAAGCTGGCTGGGTGATTTTGGGCCAGTCACTCTCTCTCAGCCTAACCCACCTCACAGGGTTGTTGTTTTGGGGGAAATACAGTAGGAGGAAGAACTATTAGGTATGTTTGCCACCTTGAGTTATTTATAAAAAATAATAAAGGCGGGATAAAAAAATCTAAAAAAAACCCCTACTGGGTAGGGGAAGGGAAACAATAGTGTACAGCTTCCTGTGATCTGTTTAATTCTACTCATTAAAAAAAAAAAACCCACATAGTAACACATGACAATAATAAAGCTGAATGGATTTTGAAGATGGACCCAGAAGCCCCTTTAGATGATCACTCCAATGAGTGATGTTGACATGTCCCCTCTCCCCACCCCCCTCATCTCTCTGGAGCCAGGGATTACGGGACACAGTTGTTCAAACTGTAACTGTTGAATGAATAAACTTTCTGTATCTTCTCTCAAAGGTTTATGCCTGTTTCTCCTCCTCGGGCCTTCTTTCCGCTTCCCTCCTCTCCTTCATGTATTTCTGCCACTGGCAAGGCTGCGTCATTTGTCTGTCATTCGGCAACAGCAGATCTTCCCATCCTTCCTCTCTTGCTCAGAAGGACCAAAGCCCGACACCAGATTTCTAATCACAGGAGCTCCCGCCAATACCCCTTTCGGGCTACTGTGATCTGGTGCTTGGTTAATCCCGTTGCCAGTCTCACAATGCTGTATGGCAACTCTGTGCTTTGACAGAATTCAGGTGTAACTTTTACCTCAGATCAGTTATTTCAAGGGATATTCATTGATACTGATTAGCTGCTGTGGCATTAAAGCCACATTGTAAGCAAACCTACAAAAAAAGCAAGTACTCCTAGAGGCCTAACTTTAAAATAAACATACTTAGCCAACTCATACTAATCATGCTTAACATTCATGGATTTGTTAGTTTAACTGGCCTTTTATATATTCATGACTATAGTTTCTGAAGCATTACTATGTGTTCAATATGCTACAAGAGTTTAGAAAAGTAGTTAATTACAAACTGAGTAGGAGTCATCAGCATGGTGTGGCTAACAAAAAAGACTAATGCTGTTTTAAACTGCACCAGTTCAAGTATAGTTTTTGAATCAGTAATGATTTGATCTTATTCTGTGTTGGTTAGACTCCATCATGAGCACTGTGCCCAGTTCTCAGTACCATATCTGAGAGACACTGGGCCAAATTCAGAGAATGGCAAACATGATTATTAAGAGATTAGATACTAAGTGGTCTGAAGAGGACCTGAAGGAATCAGGAATGTTTAGCCTTCAGAAGATTGAGGAGGAATGCAATAACCCTCTTCAAGTACCTGAAGTGACGTTACACCAAAAAATGAGAAGATCTTCTGTTCCATCAACCCAGAGTATGTGATATATAATGGATTTAACTACAGAAAGGCAGCTTCTGGCTGAATATTAGATAAAACTTAACAGGAAAATCAATTTGGCAGTGGTACCATTTAACAGACGAGCACTGGGCTCTTCTTCACTGGATGTGTTGAACAGAGGCTAGACAGCCATGTCAGGGATCTTTGGGATTCCTGAAAGGGATTGGACTCACTGACCTAAATAGTCCCTTTGAATTCTTTAATTCTACTAACTTATTTAAAGGGTGTATCCATGTAAAGTACTCATAGCCAGAGAACTTTGTGGTGGGTTACAGTCACTAAAAAGCAAGATAAAACAATAAAAACAGAATAAATATAAAATAGTAAAATAATTTAACCTATAATAATAAATATAAGAACACTGATATTTAAAGAAAAACAAATTATTATGCTGTGGACCTGAACACAGGAGTCAAAAAGGTAAGTCTTCATCTGCTGTGGAAAAAATATTTAATGTCAGGACCATCCTGGCTTCCAGGAGAAGGGCATTGCCAAGTGGAGGTGCCTTAGTAGAAAAAGTTCTCACATGCCTCCCCACATAATATCGCTCTCCCAGTTGTGGGATGCTGAGGATTCCCCTCATTGATCTGAACATTCAGGCAGACTGAAGTGCTCTGTTAAGTATTGGGATCCTAAACCATTACGCATCTTTATCAAAACCTTTAAGTCTGATCAGTAATATTAATAATTAAAATGGGGAGTTATCTGAGGATGGACTACTTTGGCCAGACCACCCTTGTCCAGAAAGGGTTGAGGCCACAAACCAGGCACAATTGACTGAATGTATTCCATGCCTCTATAGACCATCTGAATACAGGAATACATCTTGGCAGCGCACCTGCTTCTTTGGAAGAGGAATACAACCCCATCCAGAGTCAGAGACCTACTCAAGCCCTATACCTGTGACTTGATAATCCACAGTGCCTATCTTTGAGAATTCAGTGTCAGTTTATTAGCCCTCATGTAGCCTATTATAGTATCTAGACAGCAGTTAAATACCTACATCCCTTTAGCTAATTTTAATGTCAGGAAGAAATAAGAGCTAGGCATCATCAGCATATTGGTAGTACCTGGTTCCAGAGCCCCTGATTACCTCACAGTGGATTAATATAGAAATTAAACAAGAGTGGCAAAATTGACACCTTTGGGATACCATAGTTTAGTAGAAGCTTGCTGAAGTTACCTTCAAGTGCCAACCCTGAAATATGGAATAGGATCACTGAAGAACAGTGCATCCTACTCCAGCTCTAGACAGTCATTTCAGCAGAATATAGTGGAACCTTGAGTTACGAATTTAATCCGTTCCGTGACTCTGGTTGCAACTCGAATTGGT